GTCAAGTTTTCTGACCAGACCCCATCCTGAGATAACTATGTATCATCCACTGGAAATAAACAGGATATTTTTGATAAATCAATTATAACTTGCATGAAAATATCACTGCAAGGAACACAAAGCTCCTGATTTAATGAAGTGAGATAGAAATCAGGCTCCTCGCTGTTGGTAAGAATTGCACCGATAGACAACGCTGCCAGCCGACAAGCCCAGTGGCAGCGACTGCGTGAATGACGGATAAAGCCTGCGGGTGTCAACCACAGGCTCTGACTGTCCTACGGAGCTTCTCCGCATCCCTAAGAATTCGCAACTAGTAGCTTAGAAATAACTGTATTATTCACTTTAAATAAAACACTAAGAGTGATGAGACCAAAGCTGAAATCAGGGCTTGCAGATGTCTCAGAAGAAGCGGAGGTACTCTGTGGGTCACACTATGGGTGGCACTTCTCCTCTGCCTCCGAGACCTCTTACGATATTCAGATTTTGTTAGTATTTTGCGCCTCTGACTTCCATCAGGGAGGAGAGTTTGCTGCTGTGAGAGGAGCTGTATTAACATTAGGCAGCAACTGGATACAGGAGAGTCAAAGGATTTTTTTCTCAGAAAGGCCAGGTGGCCTTTACATTAAAATAGATGCAGAAAAATAGAGGTCATTCATCTTCCATCTCCAAGGCAGGATTAAACGCTTGGCCCAAATGTGACCCAAATTGCTCTACCCTGCTCTTAAAAGCCTTTTCATATCTGAGGTAAATAACCTTTGCCGCAGAGTAAGATGATTTTTTTTTTCTTCCCATGTCAAATAAAGAACAGCTTTCTGTAAAAATCATTTATGTATTTGAAGACTGTTATGTTTCCTTCAGTCCTTCATTTCTTTCCTTTCTTGACTAACCAAACCCAGTTCCTTCAGCTTCCCCTAATAATTCAGATTTTTCTGAACATCAGTTATTTAAAATGTCTCCATATTGACTGCAAACATTGTAAGGCATTGTTCCCAAAAGCAGCAAAGATATTCCACCTAGGATCTCAAAAGTACTAAGTGCAGGAGGGTGACTCATTCTTTTGCCTTCCATGAAACTGCTCTGTCACCATACTCCACACAGGTATTTGGCTGGTTTTGTAACAGCAGGACACTACTCACACGTATTTGGCCTGTGGTCCATCTTGCCTGGCCATTATTTCTCATTGAATGTTTCCTTCCTGAGCATGGTACGTCCCCTCTTGATGGGTTCTGTATCTCAAATACAGAAAGCAGATTGGCTTGCTCCTGACAAATACATGTTGGCTGTTTCCCATTACATTAGTATTCTGTAGGTTTAAATAATTTATTCTATTTAAATTAGATTATTTAAATTATTTATTCTAGTATCCTTGTATAAATCTAAATTAGGCTGGCTTCCTCTTGATGTCCTTTCTCTTTTGGAAACAAGTATTATGTTTGCTTTTCTTCACTTGCTGGAGATCTTAAGCATAATCTGCTAGTTCTTAGTAGTTTGAGATTAATTTCATGATTTCCTAACAATTTGTGTAACCTAATTTATCTAAATATTCTTTAAGACATAATTTCTGTTTTATAGTCTAAACTCCTGTCCTCTGGTTAAAACTCTACCTTGCTGATGACTACTATTAACTTTTTGTAAAGACCAAAGAAAAATGCAGCTTCCCTTGTCATCTGTTATTTGCTCTTCTTTCCTTTTTGTTTTCCTCTTGCTTTGTATACATTTACAAAACCTTATCCTAGTTCTAATTGATGTTATGCTGTAGTCATCCTGACTTTGGTTCTTCACACCATCTCTTGTAATTATTGATAGTGATTTTTTTGATGATTTCTTTTCAATTTCTGTGGCATTAAAGAGTTCCTGATGCTGTCATACCAGACGTTGTTATACTCTGCTTTCCACTAGGACAAATTGCTTCTTGTGCCTTTAACTTTGCTTCTTTTAGAAAATGTAATTTTCTGACCACAGTGCCTTTTTGTTGGAAAAAGTTAAAAAACTGTTAGAATGTAATCCTGACTGCTCCTTAGGAAAAACAGAATTTAGGAGACCTGTCAAGTAGTGATGATATACCTATATGACAAAACTCAGCGTTATGCAGAAATAACCAATGGTGCACAGAAATATGAGGTTTCTTTATGGGCTAAAGAAACTATGTCACAACAGCATTGCAATATTGTACCCACATTAATTGGCACAACAGTGCAATGTAACTACACTGATATGATCTGATACTAACACTTGGTTTCTTCTTGCTCAGCGTCTCATGGAATTCTACCATAAAGACAGAACCTTATATAGTAAGGAAACGCTCCTGGACCTTTTATTTGGACTCCTTTTTTCCCCAAGAGACTCTTCCACCTTGTAAACTTTAAGAATTATACTTTTTGCAATTAACGCAGACCATTTTCTCAGGCAGTGTAAATTAGAGGACTAGACATGTTTATGTCCCTTAGGTTCCCCTTACTTTCTCTGTTAAATTACTACATGACTAAAAGATCACAGATTAAAGCAAAGTTAATTTTCACATATTGGTATTAACACCAAGGAAAGCCATTTGATGCTCTTCACTTCAGAAACCCTTTTTTCCCACTGGGATGAAGAGTCTGATCAGATATTTCATTAATATAAAATAACTTTATGGACTTGAGCGTCTGACTCCTAACAGGAGAGGAAAATGTGATGTTTTCACCTTTGCATTTGGAGGAAAGAAATTACTTCTCTAAATGAGTAGAAAAAGCTTCTTCTTATCCTTTGCCCAATTCAGAGTCCAAGAGCTCAGCATATACAAGATTTTATTAACACAGAACGTGACCTTTCCATATAAAGGAGAAAGCCACCTTGACAGAGGTAAAGCCATGCTAAAAAATCAGTCCTGCATTACGATTTGCAACAATTCCTTAGGTAAAATGGAAACACGAGTGCCAGTCCTCTTTTCATTACCGCAAGTGGCAGAAATCCTGCTTATTTCAATAATACAGGAATGGCTTCATCACGCTAACAATAACAAAGCCATCAGTAAATGGCAATGGGATGATTTCTGTTGTTCGATGGTATTAAATCTCAAATAAAATTATGCTATGAATACACTGGGAAAGTGATTTCTTTCTTAAGGCAGTGAAAATGTTGTGGAATGACTTGTATACTCACAGGGCAAATTTGTCTCCTTGAACAGAAAGTTAAGCATTTGAAAGCAGCACATTTTAAACTTTTGCTGATATATCATGTCTAGATTTGTTTCTTGTCAGTATTGGTGATTCCATTCATGGAACTAGCAAAAATACTTCATTATATATGCATATGCAATAGGTGCTGAGTACAAGGAAAAATCATCAAGTTAGGCTTGACGCTCCTCTTCTGCCAATATTTCCTACTACAGACCTGACTTTAGAACACCTACAGAAATTTCTTGCCTCCTTTGACAATCCTCTGAAAATTAAAAAAGCACACGCTTACCCAAACTATAGTATATATGTACTATACTAGTATTATACTATATACTAGTATATATAATAATTCAACGTATTATTTGAAGCTTTATGATGCATCTGAATCATATTTTTCAGCAATAATAAGGAAACGCGATCATTACTATGGTTCATGCATGACATGTGTTGGTAAAGGCTGTAACAAAAATAACTTTGCAATTTGCAGCCATATTATAGTGATGAAAGTGCCACTGTCCATAACGATGCAGTTCTACCTGTTGCCCAAGTGTCCTTCTGGATTTGTCACCGATTCCAGCTTCTGGCACAGCAGCCCTGCAAACAAGGTTTTCAGCTTGCTGTGGATAGGAAGGTAGTTCTGCATCTCCAGCCCAGCTACTCTGCTTTTCTGTAGGCTGTTGTAAGTACTCCTGGGGCACAGATTCTTCTGAGTCAGGCAACTTCTGAACATTGCTACATACCCTTTTCAACAAATCTGGCTTGTCCTTCACTTCCTTACCCTGGATTTCCAGAGAATGCCAAATCACCTCTGGGCACACGAAGGTTGTTACTCCATCTGGGCAAAGGATGTGAAAATCTAATAATAAGGACTGTTAGCTATTGGTCATGTTTCTTAAATCACAACTGAAAGATTTTCAGATGGTGTAGCTGAGCATGGTTCACAGCCCCACACAATGATGTACCACTGACAATAATGCAATCTCAAATTTCCATCAAATGTCAAATGGACCTGGGCTTGAAAAGTAAAGTCCTTCAGGGCTTCGGGAAAGGTCACCTGAGACCTGGAGAAAAGGCTGTGTCAGGCTACTCACTAACTTCAAGAGATGTGAGGTATTAACATTTCACTTTGATTTAACAAGGCTTGGAGACCTTCACACTTCTTTGGTTAAGAAAAGGAAAATCAAGTTTGCTGAGCACTGTAATTTGTTTTATTTACAGTATTGCCCAAATTTTAATCAGTATAAGCTTAATAACTAACTTTTAAAAGGTGGTCGAATAATTTCAAGACTTCCAAAACAAAAGAACCCTCAAAATTTAGAAGAGAAAAAAGCAAAGGCTAAAGCTACCATTCAGTGTCTGCTTTAAAAGTGGCAAAGATGGGTAGTTCCTCCATCATTAAGGTATTTTGAAAAGGGCAACTAAACAAAAAGGGAAAATCTTACATTTTAAGGCGGCAGTGCCACTGAAATAAGCACTTCTGCTCGATTTGTCATCAGCTCCTTGTTCTTTCTCTGCATTATCCCCTGCTTTTGCTGAAACAGGTCTCTCTGCAGTGAAGCAATGGGTAACTGATTCAGCTAAAAGCAACCTTTCTTTTTGCTGGGTTACTTTCCAGCTGGATCAGTGTCATGGTCATCCTTCTTCATAAGCACAAAAATGATTGCGTTGGCTGACAAAACATGGAGCATGGGAGGAAAAAACCCAGTGTTTGGAAAGGTGCAGAAGGATTTAATACTGTGCTTTGAATATGCTCAGTGTTCCTAAGCAAGTTTTGTTATATCTTCTTCCTGACAGAGCCAACATTTCAAATTTCTGCCATGTGGTCAGGCACAAACAGGGCACTCTCTCTTTGATAAGGCAGACACAAGCTATGGCATACCGTTACTTCATGGCCTTCATTTCGTGCTGATTCCACTGACGGGAAACAGTAGTTGCAACCCAGTTTATAGACTTGAGAGCTGATGTGAAGGTATTTGCCATTTCCACAGCCTGAAGTAATAATGAGGAGGAGAAAGAAAGGCGGACATTTGGTGTCTGTACAAAAGAAAATGTATACCTGACATAAGCCATGATGTACACCCTTGACTGGCCTAATAGCTTGAAATTCTCCACCCATTTTAAAGGAGATGATACAATTGCAGTGGAATTCAGGTTATTTTTTACAATCACAGTACAATGAGCACAGACTGCTCCTTTCCGTCTAGCAGGCTCTCTGCTGCGTGACAGGAGGTGTTCAAGTGGGATTGCTAGAGAGCATTTACCTTGGCCTTCCCACCACATACAGAATCAAAAATATTTATGGTAATGATGCTACTGCAATTCTGCTTGTAATAGACTCAAAATGCTAACTGAAAGCATCATGTAGCGGGAGCACTGCACTGAATTATTCCTGTGTATTGAAATGCTGATAGACAAACTAGACTGCTAAGCAATTAAGTCACTATTAGACCAAACCATTAAATCCATTGTTTGCTGTTTTAACTGCTGCTAATTGCTGTCACCATGACAACAGTGGAGTTTCTTTTTCTGGTATCTCCACGCAGTTTCCTTTTCATAATGGAGCCTGTGACATGGAAATTTACATCTTCCCAAATTGAAATACTTGTTGTGTTGAAATAAAGGCAGACATCTTTAGATAAGAAGGATTTTAATGTCAGCAGTAAAATGGATCTTATCTAAATTTTTGATAATCTGTTTGCAGAATTATCTGGATCTTAACACAAAGTGCATTTTAAAGTAGACTGTTAATTTTAAAAACTTGCCTTCCCACTTGCATCATAAATATCATCGTTCAGATTAAGATCAGGGAGGTAAGTGCATCTGGCTACCAGTAATACCCTGTACCTTGTGCAGACCTTAGTTCACATCCTGTTTATGGTTATGCTTACATCAAACATTGAGCTTGGGGCAGAGCCCAGATTTTATCTCTAATTAATTAAAAAAAAAAGTTATCGTTATTTTGGAGCCTTCCAAATATTTAAGTCCCTATATTTAGGTTACAGCCACCCCATAGCACCTATTCTGCAACGCTGCGTGGGTCCCTGTGTTCAGTAAGGAGCGTCCCAGCCCATCAATCTGTTATGCCATTTGAACCGGAGATGAATCATTGCTGAGCTGCAGATAGAAGTCTGCTCCGAACCGCCTGTCTAATATTAGCTGCTGATCCCACCTCCCAGGAATGAAGGAAAGCTGTCCGGAGAAAAGCTGGGGCTCTCTCAGTCCTTCCCATGCCTGACTTCAGCACCAGCTGAGAAGAGGTGCTGTGAACTGGTGCCAGCACTTGGCTAACATTAGACTTGGTTTTCCAAGGAGAAAGAGCAGAAAGAGGTCTACCCTGGAGCTCTGACTGGAAAAGAACTCCAGGACTTTTTCAGGTTTTCAGTTTTGGAGGGGAAGGCTCCAGTAGAAGCCAAACAACAGCTACTAAATACGTTTCCTCTAATCCGACACCAGAGGCTGCTTCCCAGGGATGGAGGGGCAGAGGAGAGCCCTGAAGGTAGGCTCCTTTCCAGCACCGTGCCACCACTCTTGGCAATTGTGTTTCACACAAAACTCGTCTCTGGCCACGGACACCACAACAGCGTGCCAGCAGCCTCGGCAGGCCAAAGCCCAGGAGCCAAGCCTGAGCTTAAATTACAGCACTAACAAAGCCCAACGTCTGTGACATCAGTAAAAATTCAGTGTGCTGGTTCTTCGTACGTTTTATTTGTTCACATTGAAAACACTGCAAAATCTGCCAAGATCTGGTAGGAATATAGTTCCCAGCATTTACACTGTGATAAACTGGGAAAAGTATATGGTAGTGTTTGAAAGACGCCCAAAAAGTTAGTGTGATTACTCCAACCCTCAGTAATTTTTCTCCTTCACAAACATTCCCATGCTGTAGTGGGGAGACTACACATATGTGCTGTTGGAAAGGATTACAGGTCCAAAGAGCTATTTAGAAGTCTAGCCTAAACATGTAGAACTGATGAGTTAATGCCCAGACCTCATTTGGGCACCCAGCATGTATCCACTTCTTGTGCAGGTGCTGAAACCAGTACAGAGAATTCCCTCGTACAATTTAGACATTCTCAAACCTTCAGGGAGTTAAAACCTGTCACATATTGTTCCCTAAAGCACTCAGGACAGTGTCACGATACTTGCTTCAGATTGGCCACACCACTACATGTCGTAAGAGCTAAACAAGATTTCAAATTCCAGAATTATCATACCAATACACAACATAAGCATCCACTAACGACACCTTAATAAATTTAGCTTCAGTTTAGTTGACCTACTGGATACTGGGAAAAGTAAAATTGTCTTCATATACCTATGAATGGTGGAGCAAAGCAGGAGGCAAATTTTGATAGTGAGTCTGGCCATTTTGATTCCCCGGTTTGATTCACAAGCTCCAAACTCTTCTGCCACAAATATTGCTTGATAGAAAGAGAGGACGTACTGATACTGTCATTAGCAATGTGATAAACAACCCCACTCACCAACATCAGCAATCAGGCTGCCCGGTTCCTGCTCTGAAATGAACTGCTGCACCTTTGGCCATGCCTTGTAGCACGCGTCATTGAAGCAAGGAGCAATTTTCTCACATACACTGTGAATATGGTCCCTCTCGAGCTGGTTTGCCTCCTTGTCCATCACAGCCAAGGCTAGGCTAACTCACTGAAGGCAGTGCGGCTGTCCTAGAGAAAGGGAAGGGAGAAAAACAAGTGCTGAAACTCTTGTCACCAAAGTACATTTCCTTAAGTTAAGCAGTATGACATTGTTTATTTAGGAAATAGTATTTCCAAATACTATGTTGCCATTAAAGAGAAACTGCTGAGGCTTTTAAAGGAAGAAAGGCAATTTGTTCTATGATTTTATACAATGTATTGTTTTCTTATATAGAACTGAAAGGAATTTTATGACCTACCACTCAATGTTTATTAACGTGCTTATATTGTTATACTCTGGAAGCTGTTAGCTTTTGCTTCATAAAGTCTCCCACCCTTTTCCAGTCTACCCTTGAAAAAGTAATTTCTAAGAAGCCCTTTGTTTACAGACACATCTTAAAAACCAGTGACTGAAAGTGATGATGAATACCTAGAGATGTTCAGAAACTGAAACAAAAGCTCCGAGAGGTGTCGTTTCTCCTCCAGTTCATTCAGCACCCAGAAAGATCCATGCTTACAGACTTCCCATCGCACAATTCATTGACACCCTGTGTTACTGTGAACAAAAATCTTTCCAGCTTTCTGAGCATCCTTTTTTTCAGCTGTTCTGGATTGGCCTGGTGCACTGGTATTAGCAATGCTGCCAGGAAAACCCTGTGATATTGCAAATAGCCTATGGCATCCCAAGTGATTGTTCAGTTCACCATGAAACTTTGTACAGAAAGCCTGTAAGAACTGTGAACTTCACTGAACATACCTGGCCATGCTAGGATTTCCACTGATTTATTGAAGATTTGGGCCACCAAGACAGGCTGCTCCGGCTCCACTCACATGCTGCAAACAACTCTAGGCAGAATAACTTCTCCTCTGAGGCAAAGGTATCGATGACAGCACCTCACCCAAGATCTCTGTGCTGCAGGCTGGCCATTAATCTGACTCCTGATACAGTCCTTATCTGGTCCTTATTTTCAAACCCATAAGCATTTAAAATCCTATCACCTCAAAAGACTAGAGTTCTGTGATTTCCTAGGCAATTACATCAAAGAGAAACACTGGAGCAGACTAAGCCCAAATTTGATCCTGCAGTAACAGCAAGAAAATAACTCTGGAGGCGTTGTTATGTCATTTATTAATCCAAAAAACTGTGCAAGGATTAAATCCTGTAGCCCTTGGTGTCTTCTGTCATATCAGATACTCACTCAGCATCACTGGGAAATTGCCCAGACCGCAAGTTTCCTGAATATCCTGCTTAGATCAAAGCGATGACAAGTATTGGAGTGGGGTGAAGAAATTCTTTGGAAGATCATCGTGTTCTCTTCATTATATGTGTTGCTAAATAACAGCCACTTTAGAAACACAGATAATAACAAAACAAAAAGACAACGAAAGTGAGTTGCATTGGTTTAGTGTCTCCTGCACTGCAATGCATATCTTTTTAGTTTCCAGTGAGATTTAAAGCCATCACCTTGCAAGCACTTACACAGGTGCTTAACTCTGTGTGTGCAAACAATAGGACTGACTGAATCCAGTGGGGATGTTCCAGGCACAGAGTTCACCACATGCATTAGTGCGCACAAGACTGGCTCTCCAAGGCAGAGGGATTTTTTTCTTATTGTTCTTCATTATAACCAAACTCCGCTGTAGGAACTAGTTTTTAAAAAATACCTTCAGAAAAACCCTGGCTGAAATAGCTGAAGTGCTCTACTGGGTATCATTTCAAGAGGAAGCTGATGTACTATCAAATATACAGGGAAAGGCAGAAGGAGGCGAGAGGAGAGGGAAATTGTTCTTTGGAAAAGCTGCAACATCATTTCAAAGCTTTGCTATTGCTTCATTTGACAAGAGGAAATAATAACTGGTGAATTGATGTGAGATCACAGGAGTGAGGAGAACAGAGCTGTTTCTGTTTAATTCCAGGCTTACAGTCAGGATAGCTCACTTAGAGGCAGAGGGACAGCCTGGAAGTTGCTACCAGCTTGAGACACTTAATTACCAGGAAAAAAAGGTGCATATGAAAGCACCCAGAAGACGAACCACATAGTAAGACACCCTTTCAAAGTAAGGCAAAAAAAATGCTTAAACACAAAAAACCCACCACAAGTTGTGTGTAAAACAGTGCCTCCTCTGGAACAGGAGCAAAAAAGATGTAATAGGCTATGATTAAATCCCACTTAGAATTAACAAAGACACAGCATCTTTTGTTTTAAAATGGTAGCTCTGAGAGTGGTCTGACTCTTTGAAATTTAGAAGTCCAACACTGCAAGGCACTATTAAAATAAATTTTCTATATGGTTCTTAGAAGAAAGTACCACTTCGTGGGGGAGGCTGGAGGATGAGACCAGTCAGGTTGGTCCCCAGCAGCCACCAGCAGCCATGCTATGGACATTTCTGCCTAGAGGAGTCCAGTGAATGCCCATCTCCTACATTTACCAAGCCATAAACCACAAAATGCTTGTCGACACTCCATTTAATGCTTTTAGTACAACAGACTGAAACCCATAAAAAATAAAGTGCACCAGAGGAAGAGAGCAGAGAGGCGTTTGAGGGCACAGCCACCACGTTTACTAAGTAAAATTGTTCAGTCAATCTTAGGAAGCTGGTTACGACCCACATTGCAGAAACAAGAAAAAAACCAAAATCAAAAAGCAAACAGGGATGACCACCAATCTAGCCTGGGGGAAAAAAAATTCTGGGGGATTGACTCAGGTTCAAACATATGATTTATACATGCCAATTTGAACCTCAGACATTCCAGTTTCTCTATCATCCCCAAGATCCTTTCTCTAGTCACAGGGAAAGCCAGAAAACGACTTGGAAATTAAGCTATGCATCAGGAAAAAGAAACATTTTCTGCCCAACACAAAATTGGATATTTAGTGCTGCAAATGTCACACAATGGCATTTTACATTGGTGGTGTTTGCTTACTTGCATAACAAAGGCTTTGGGGAATGCAGATATTTTCTTTTGAGTGCACTCACCCCTACCTTTATGCAAATTTAAAAAAAGTAAATCTGTTCACCCAGGGCTGGCAGGAAAGCAAAATGAAGAGGTACAGAGCAGCAGTTCAGCCTGACTGCCTGTCACCTAATCTTAAGCTAAATTTGACACAACTTGATTGAAAATGAAATTAAATTTGAGTGTAAAAGCCATTACAAACTTCTGAGTTCACGAGTGATTATCAACTTCCCGAACACTGTGAAGCCTCCGACTGTTTGTGCAGGACACGAGCCTTGTGCAGGCTGTGCCCCGTGTTTTGGGGAGCCCTGGGACCCCGCAGCATCGTTCCCCTGGGGGTACCCCAGGCAGCTGCTGGAGGGGGCTCTGGCTCCCAAATCCAGGGCAGGAGTGGCAGCCTCTGCTGTGTTAAGGGTGCCTTAAATTTATCTTTGAATTTACAAAGAAATCGTTTGGGAGGAGAATAGCCTTTCTAGTTCTAAATAATTTCATTCTTTGGGTAATACCCAATGATGTCAGTTTAACTCAGCTGCTCTGTGGTTCAACCTAATAGGAGAGAATACACTGATTTGGTAATAAGCTTGCTTTTGACAGGGAGAGTCTTCTAGAAGGACGTGGCATCCGAGAGCTCCCAGATGTAATGAGTAATTCCCAATTTAAAAAAAAAAAAAGCCAGTTCTTTCCCTCTGCCCCCATAGCACTTGCAGCTGAGGAGGCAATTGCAGGAGGGGGCTGCCCAGGGCTGTGCAGCGGCTCTCGCCAAGCTCGGTGAGTGGAGGGCAGCTCTGCCGGGGTCCCTCCAGCCCCTCTGTACGTGGGCCAGGCCATGGGAGAGCTGGTGGGAGCACTGGAGAAACGGGGCTGGCTCGGAGATGCGTCCTGATGCCATCGAGCCCTCCCTGCCGCCGGCCGGAGAGGTAAAACTGGAGCTGCCGAGCTGAGCTGGGTTTCTTCAGAAACGAAATTAGCTTAAGTCTTGCAGAAATCAGTGCCACCAAATGACAGAACGGCTGGTCCGACATAGCTGAAAATCCAAACCGACAACTCCAGGAACACACTGTTTCTAATACCTATGAAAGCAATGGAGGTGCTTTCCTCCCCTAGGTTAAGTGAGTATTTTTGTGACGATACATTTGGAAAGCCTGCTTAATTCTTCTCCCTCTCTGCATCCCCTGCACCATCACCATTCCCACCTTACGCACAAACATGACATTGTGGCTGCATTGAAATAGCTTCTCTGTGAAGTGCCTAATCTGTGAGTGAAACACTGCAAATATTCAGCCAGACCTTGGCAGGGTCCCTTTGGGGACCTCCAGCAAATTTGTTCTTCCACCAGCAGCACCAGCCACAGCAGGAGCACTCTGCCAGTCAGACTAACAGTCCTTACCCCTGTGAAGCAGAAAATAAAAGAAGAGAGGAGAAACTGTAATATCGGCCTTAAAGCCCTTGAATGATGGTTCCCATGAGGTGTCAGGATCTGGGGAAGGACTGATTAACAGAAGGAGAAATGCAATATGGGGTACAAAGGGGCTAGGAGAAAAGGAGAAACGAAAGAAGCTAGATGGGAAGCAAATGATAAAAGGGAATTTTATAAATAATAAAGCGGGAAAATGAAGGGCAGGGAAGGAAATGAAAAGCAGGAGAAAAAAACTGAGAAAAAGAAGAAAGGATAAAAAAGCAGACATGTAGAGAAACTCCAGGTTAGTATTTTAATTAGTTGGTCTTGCTGCATTTTTCCCAGATACCATCATGCATGGGCACAGCATCAGAATTTGACATTTAATCAGCCATTTGGGGATTCCTCATAATGCTGTATTAATATTACCGTAGCGCGGTGAAACCTTCCCACAGCCTCCCAGTTCCCGCAGTGCATCCTCCTGGCCTTATCCTCACCCTTTTACAGGGCTGAGAGGCAGCAGAGCTGCATCTTTTCCACCTTCCTAAAGCCACCGGCGACCACAGCGTAAGCTCGGTATGTGCCCGTCTGAATTCCCCCATGTCGCAGGTGCTGCCAGGGAGGTGGTTACATG